AAAAAATCTAAGCAAGCTTTTGTTTTATTAATAATTTTCTTACTTCATTTATAATTTCATTTAATAAATGTTTGTGTTTAAAAAAAAAAAAAAAGAGCAGTTAATTAATCGGAACAGGAATTTTCACAGAGCTCTAAAGATCTACAATATTATCATCGAGAACGAGACATATAATATAATTGTGTGATCAAACGAGCCGGCCGAAGGCCGGCGAAGTTTGATCAAAATTATATGTAATGTCTCGTTCGAAGATGATAATATTGTAGTCATGCTTGTCATGCTTAAAGTCACAACGTTTAACGCATAAGAATTTTAAAAGTGGCGCTCTCCCGCCATACTGGCCGCTCGCCAGGCCCTCTACCCTCATATTGTTTTGTGATGTGTCAGGAATTGTCACTGCACCAAGATGATAGCGGGCTTATTCTAGTCTTTTTTTTTTTTTTTTTAATTATTTGGGTTAGAAAGTGGTGGGAATCTATCATCTTCGAACGAGACATTACATATAATTTTGATCAAACTTCGCCGGCCTTCGGCCGGCTCGTTTGATCACACAATTATATTATATGTCTCGTTCTCGATGATAATATTGTAGATCTTTAGAGCTCTGTGAAAATTCCTGTTCCGATTAATTAACTGCTCTTTTTTTTTTTTTTTTAAACACAAACATTTATTGAATAAAAATATAAATGAAGTAAGTAAAATATAAGTAAGAAAATTATTAATAAAACAAAAGCTTGCTTAGATTTTTTCCAAAATTGCCCGTGCAAATTGACTATTAGGAGTCTGAATGGGCTTATTATAAAATTTAAAAAAGGTCTGAGAATTTGGTGTCCAACCAGCGCATCGTCGTATTGTCGAAATGTCCACACCCCGTTTGTGAGCAGTTGAAACCGCTGCATGTCGTGTGCTGTATGCACTAAATTGATTTGTATCTACTCCTGCCTTTCCCAGGAGTGACTTTATCCAGTGGCCGATGGTTTGTGATGAGGCTGGTCCGTATGGTTTTGTAGATCCAATAAATAAAGTCTTCGTCTCACTACTTCTTAATTCTTTAGTAATATCAATATAATCCAAAACTGCTGATGCCACACAGAGCCCTGGTCTATCTGTGTAGAATGGCAATACAAGTTCCGGATATACAGATCCAGGTTTTGTTGTTTTTGTTAGCTCCGTAATTTTTATTTTTATCTCAGTTTTTGTTCTCTCTATATTCTCTATTCTCACCAATGCTAGAGTTTGAAGTCTTTGAGCTGTAGTTAATGCCAACAAGGTTGCTACTTTTTCAGCAGCTTCTTTCAATTTAAATTGACTAAGAGGATGCATTTTTTCTATATATTTCAGCACCGGGACCACATCCCATGTTGAATTATATTTTGGTTTGGATGGTCTTTGTTTAAATACACTTTTTAAGAAACGTGATATCAGGCCATCATTGTTAATATCGTAAGCTGATATTAAAGATATCGTAGATCTAGCAGTGTTGAGAGTAGTATAGCTTGCTCCTTCCTTAAACATGTTGTTCAGGAATTGAATGATATCAGTCGTTTTTGAATTATACAAGTCGATATTATTAAAACGTGCAAACGACCACCATCGTTTTAGATTAGACTCGTATTGCTTCAAGGTGGACTTTGTGATTGAATTTATCATCATATCTGCAGCTTCATCCGAAAGTCCTTTCTTTGTATATGCTTCCCTGACAACTTCCCTGCCACCAGGGAAAGGTGGGACGACAGTGGATGGCCGATGTTTCTGAAAGGAGAAAATAGCAGGTTGGATCGTGGTTTAAATAGAATAGGTGGTTCTATGAGAAGAGATGTAAACAGAGGGTACCATGGCTGTGTCGGCCAAACTGGTACTACTAAGATACCAACTGCTTGGTCATTAACTATTTTTCTAAGGACCCGTAAAATAATCGCGAACGGAGGAAAGGCATAGAAGTTTTGACTTGTCCAAGATGTAGTAAAGGCATCGACTAGCTTCGCTTCTGGGTCAGGAAATCTCGAGAAAAAAATTTTACATTTTTTGTTTAATCTAGAAGCAAATAGATCGACTGAGAATGTGCCGAACCTCTCGTGAATTTGTTCGAACGCAGTTCGAGCGAGCTCCCATTCGGAGTCAACATTGTCATAACGCGAAGCTCTATCTGCTTCAACATTTTTTGCTGATGGTATGTATGATGCTTTCAACCATAGGTGTCTTTTTTCACACCACTCCCAGATTTTTCTGGAGAGTTCACTAAGATGCGGATATTGAACACCTCCTGCTCTATTTATGTACGCTATAGCCGTCGTGTTGTCTAAGCGTAACAAAAATTCCTGATTTGACAGTTTTGAGGTGAAACATTTTATTGCAAAGAAAGCCGCCAATAACTCAAGATAATTTATGTGATTTTTTCTTTCTTCTTTGTTCCAAAACCCGAAAGCCTCTTTGCCTTTACAGTAACAACCCCATCCAGATAAGGATGAGTCCGAAAAAATTTCAAGTGTATACTTATGAGTCCTAATTGGACACGAACCAATAATAGCATTAATTCTCCACCAAACCAGGTCTTCCATCATCGAATCGGTTATTAGTATTTTTCTCTCATAATTACCGCCGTTAAATTTTAAAGCTAGAAATTTTTGTCTTTCTAGGCGTTTACAATGAATAAAACCGTAAGCTACGGCTGGACAAGCAGATGTCAACACCCCCAATAGTTCAGCAAATTTTCGTATTTTGTACATCTTACCTAATTTAAACTCTTCTAACAATTTAACTATCTGAGATTTCTTTTTATCTGGTAACTTTAAGGAGAAGTTAATTGTGTTAATAATGAAGCCTAAATACTTGCATTGCTGCTTTGCAATTAATGAACTTTTTTCATAATTAATAACTAAACCAAAGTATTCTAAAATTTTAACTGCTTCTCTCATATTATTTTCACAGCTATTTTTATGTTTTTCAATAAAGAGAAAATCATCTAAGTATAATACAAGTATCATTCCTTTTAATCTTAATATATTTACTATAGGCTTCATAACCTTTGTAAACGTATATGGGCTAGTGCAAAGCCCAAATGGTAGGCATAAAAACTGAAAAATTTTTCCTTTGAATTTAAACCTTAAATATTTTTGATGCTCTACGAAAATAGATATAAGAAAATAAGCATCCTTAAGATCTATTGATCCTAAGAAATCATTGGGAGATAGTAAGCCTAAAGCAGACCTGATGTCCTCTAATTTAAAGTGTGGAGCCTCGATAAATTTATTTAATTCTTTTAAATTAAGAATAAATCTATTTGAGCCATCTGGCTTCGGTACCAGAAAATACGATGAGATGAACTGCCCTTCGCAGTCCTCACATTCTTCGATAGCACCCTTTCTTAGCAACTTTTCAATCTCAAAATCTAATAACCTTTCCTCCTCTGGTGCCCAAATTTTTTCTTCTGGAATAAACATCTGAGTTGGTGTCTCAATAAATGGTATTTGATAACCACTTATGTAACTTAATATGTGTCTATCATTGGAAATCTCTTTCCATCTCTCCACATAAAAAGATAAGCGACCAGCTGTTTTATTTACCTGTACTATTTCCTCGACGATGAGTGGCTCGTCGACCGCGTTGCTGTCTTCGATGACGTACGCTGCGTCTTGTTCGACTTCGGCTTGAATTTCATGAAGCGTCTCTGTTGTTGACCCACCGGACGGTAAGCCGCCGGTGGGTACTTGGAGTTTCCCGAACCCTGAAATTTTTGAGACGGTTTCAGAGGAGTCTTCTCCTTAATATCGGCGCAGGCTTTCTCAATTTCCTTGGCATCCTTGACGCTTTCTTTTAACTTGTCTCCATAGAGCCATTCATTGGAGATCATAGAATCCACCACTGGCTTGATATTTTTATTCAGCTGAGGAGTAATAAAAGATTTTCGGGCTTCTGTCTGTTGAAAAAATACATCAGTTAAAATCTGGCCTGCATGACTGATGTACGTGGTAAATAGATCCTCATCCAGGCCTTCTTTTGGAGGATCTAGTAGCAAAGACACTGCTGCCCCCAACGCCGAAATTGCCGTACCAACACAATTCTGTGTTTCTAAAAAATGTTGATCCCTCTTCTTAGCAATTTCTGATAAGAGAGGTACAATCTCAAGATTTATCTTGGGAGCTTCTGTATAAAATTCCCCTTTTCTATTGTATGATTGGAGAATTTCTTTTTTATTTTTCTCAGGCAGCCCTTTCTTTTTCCACTCCAGCCAGGTTTCTTTGAGTTCTGGGTGATGCTTTACATCTTTAAATGTGGAATCTTTGGCATCAAAGCCCAAAATTTTTAAAATATCATCCCTTGATGATTCTGCCTCGGTGGTAGGATCTATTTTTCCGTTAGCCTCGTCTGACAGCGTCACTGTTTCCACTAGACTGTTTGTCTTGTCTGTGTTCTCCTTATTCTCAAGATCTAAAATAGGAGAAATTTTTTACTGAACACATTTATAATAATGTAGCAGCACTTATTGTGCAACTTGTATTAGCGTTCTTATTGAACTTATTACAAGTTACTACAGATAGACATATGTGTCGGGTGTCGTATGGACTGGTCAATGTCGTATGGACATTGCCTCCCACCTTTCGTGTGGATAGATGGGAATTGATAAAGTAGTAAATAATACAAACGAACTTACCATTATTATCTTTAGCTAAAGAATTCTCTTGTTGAGAATTTTTCGAAGCTATTTGCTCTTTTTGAATGTTGACGAGGTCCGTGACCACCTTTGTTAGGTTAATCACGCGGTTTTCCAACTCATCTATTTTTTCATCTCTATGACGCTTGCGTCGTTCTCGGGATCTGGATCGGGATTTTGAGCGTTTTTTCCCTTTGCGATCTGACATTTTTTATGTTTTAATTCTTTTTTAATTAATTTATATTTAATTATTTAATTGAGCGAAATGCGAAAAACGTTTTAACTCGTAAACACAACGAAACAATATATGAGGGTAGAGGGCCTGGCGAGCGGCCAGTATGGCGGGAGAGCGCCACTTTTAAAATTCTTATGCGTTAAACGTTGTGACTTTAAGCATGACAAGCATGACTACAATATTATCATCTTCGAACGAGACATATAATATAATTAACATATATATAAAAATTTTTTCTCGGATATAATCATACTTGGCTGTTATAACCCCATGTATAATCCATATATGTCTATATATGATCAGATCAGATTATATATGAATGAGTCTTTATATAATTAGATCTAATCAGACTTGTATAGTTAGATCTGATCAACATTTTTTATTTGAAACAAATTTTTTTTTGATAATCACAAAAAGTGCAAAATGGTGTTCATAATTACGTTTAAATAATTCTGAAATACAAATTTTTTACATTTCCTATGAAAAGTTTTGGTCTGCTCTACTACTACCTAATAGTAAAATGATTATTTATTTTATGAATAGTTTATTAAAATAAATTAATTATGAACTATGACTATCCAAATATATTATAAAATCAATTTTTATATTATATATAAGATAAACTCATATGATGCATTAAGTAGATCATAGAATCATTATTGTCTAAAATAGCAGCATAGCAGACAGAAACTTCAAAACGCACGGAGATTACCAAAGTTAAGCCGCATTGAGTAGAGTTAGTAGTTGGATGGGTGACCGCTGGTGTTATAACAGTAAAATTATATACTGACATTTTTTTTTGCATTTTAATTATTTTTAGAGAATCGCGTAGGACCATATTAAATACTCTATCCATAAAATTAACCCAATAATTAATTAAACATTGTTATTTGTTATATATAATTATTAGGGTGTGTAGGACCATATTAAATACTCTATTCATAAAATTAACCCAATAATTAATTAGATGTGATAAATATATAATTAAACATTGTTATATATAATTATATATAGTTATATATGATTATATATAATTATATATGATTATATTTGGCCATTTTTCATATATAATCATATATAACCAATTTATATATAAATATATATAATTATATATAAATATTTTTTCTCGGGTCGGGACCTCCAATAAACAATTAGTACCGTAATTAACGTGTATTCTTCATTCACTGAGCGACCCACAACCTTTTCAACATTTAAGTATTTTTCAGTGAGACGCTGAGCTAGTCCGGAGGTCTGTTTATGTGACAGGTAAATGACCAGGTGTAGGCTCACACGTAACATAGGGCATAAAGAAACCTTATTTTTTGAGCCTAAACCTATTGTCCTTAGTTTTGACATACTTTTTTATATTTATCAACGTCACACAAGGACAAAATAGGTACAATGACCATTGAGAGGGACGAAGGATGACACAGGAGGAACCCTGTAATTTTAAGGTCGATAAGAAAATTTTAGGGCCTAAAGAAACCTGATTTTTTGAGCCTAAATCAATTGTATTTTGGTTTGACATAATTTTATTGATTATTCAAGGTCATACAAGGTCAAAATAGGTTCAATAAATATTAACAGGAACAGTGGATGACTTAGGAAAAACCCTGTATTTTTTAAGGTCCATAAAAAAATTTTAGGGCGTAAAGAAACCTGATTATTTGAGCCTCAACCTATTCTCCTTAGCTTTCACCTGCTTTTTTATATTCTTCAACGTCACACAAGGTCAAAATAGGTTTAATAAACATTAAGAGGGACGAAGGATGACACAGGAGGAACCCTGTAATTTTTAACGTCGATAAAAAAATTTAAGGGCATCAAGAAACCTGATTTTTTTGGGCCTAAATCGATCGTACTTGGGTATGACCTACTTTTATTGATATGTCAATGTCTTACAAGGTCAGAATAGGTTAATCAAAAATCCGGATCGACGGAGGATAACTTAGGTGGAACCCTGTGATTCTATAAGACCAAAAAATAATTAAAGAGCATAAAAAAACCTGATTTATAGGGCCTAAATCAATTTTACTTGAGGTCGACCTAATTTTTTATATTTTTCAAGCTCATACAAGGTCAAAATAGGTTCAATAAAATTTTGCAGGAACAGTGAATGACTAAGGAGAAATTTTGTAATTTTTAAGGTCCAAAAAAAAATTTTAGGCCATAACGAAACCTGATTTTTTGGGCCTAAATCAATTGTACTTGGGTTTGACCAATATTTATTGATTATTCAAGGTCATACAAGCTCCAAATAGGTTCAATAAAAATTAGGAGGGAAGAAAAATGACTCGAAATATACTCTGTAATTCTGAGAAAGAATAAAAAAATTTTAGGGCATAATAAAACCTGATTTTTTCGGCCTAAATCGATCGTACTTGGGTTTGATCAACTTTTATTGATTTGTCAAGGTCTGACAAGGTCAAAATAAGTAAAAAAAATATTGAGAGGGACATTAGATAAATTATGAGGTACTCTGTGGTTTTGAAGAACCATGGAAAAATTTAAGGGCATGAAGAAACCTAATTTTTCGAGCCAAAACCTATTGACCTCAGGTTTGACCTACTTTTATTGAATTTTCAATGTCACACAAGGTCAAAATACGTTTAATGAAATATAGAAAGGTCGTAGGTTGTCTGAAGAAATACACTGTAATGTTGAAGAAGTATAAAAAAATTTAAAGTCATAAAGAAACCAGATTTTTTTGGCCTTAATCTATAAAACTTAGGTTTGACCTACTTTTATTAATTTTCCAACGTCATACAAGGTCAAAATAGGCTCAATCATGATTTAGAGCGACATTGGAAGTGTAAGGAGATACCCTGTGGTTGTTAAGGTCGATAAAAAAATTTTAAGGCATAATAAAACCTGATTTTTTGGGCCTAAATCGATCGTACTTGGGTTTGACCTACTATTATTGATATGTCAATGTCTTAAAAAGTCAGAATAGGTTTATCGAAAATTCAGATCGACGGAGGATAACATAGGAGGTAACCTGCGATTTTATAAGACCAAAAAATAATTAACGGGCTTAAATAAACCTGATTTATAGGGCCTAAATCAATTTTACTAGAGTTCGACCTACTGTTTTCTATTTTTCAATGTCTCACGAAGTCAGAATAGGTTAAATAAACATCGAGAGGGACGAAGGAAGACGCAGGAAGAATCCTGAAATTTTCAAGGACTATAAAGAAATTTAAGGGCATAAAGAAACCTGTTTTTTTTAAGCCTAAGCCTATTGTCCTTAGGTTTGAACTACTTTTTTATATTTTTCAAGGTCACACAAGGTCAAATTAGGTTTAATACTTATCAAGAGGTACGGAGGACGACACAGGAGGAATGCTGTAATTTTCACGATCTATAAAAAAATTTAAGGGCAAAAAAAAACCTGATTTTTTGGGCCTAAAACAATTGTACTTCGGTTTGACCTACTTTTATTGATTATTCAAGATCATACAAGGTCAAAATAGGTTCAATAAATATGGACAGGGACAGTGGATGACTGAGGAAAAACCCTGTAATTTTTAAGGACCATAAATAAATTTTAGGACATAAAGAAACCTGATTTTTTGAGCCTAAACCTATTGTCCTTAGGTTTGACCTACTTTTTTATGTTTATCAATGTCACACAATGTCAAAATAGGGTTAATGAACATTGAAAGAGACGGAGGATAATACAGGAGGAACCCTGTAATTTAAAGGTCGATAAAAATATTTTAGGGTATAAAGAAACCTGATTTTTTTGGCCTAAATCAATTGTACTTCGAATTGACCTAATTTTATTGATTATTCACGGTCAAACAAGGTAAAAATAGGTTCAATAAATATTAAGTGGGACGGAGGATGACACAGTAGGTGCCCTGTAATTTTTCAATGCGATAAAACAATTTTAAGGCATCAAGAAAGCTGATTTTTTGGGCCTAAATCAATTGTACTTGGGTTTGACCTACTTTTATTGAATTTCCAAGGTAATACAAAGTCAAAATAGTTATAATAAAATTTGAGAGGGATATTGCATGACTTAGGAGATACCCTGTGATTTTTGAGGACCATAAAAATATTAGGGCACAACGAAACCTGATTTTTTAGGCATCATTCGATAGTTCTTGCGTTTGACCTACTTGTATTGATTTTTCCAGGTCACACAAGCTCAGAATAGGTTTGATAAAAATTGTAAGCAACGGAGGATGACATAGGAAGTACTCTGTAATTTTTAAAGATCGTCGAAAAGTTTGAGGGCGTTAAAGAACCTGATTTTTTGGGCCTCATTCAATTGTAAATATTTTTTAACTACTTTTATTCATTTTTCAAGGTCATACAAGGTCGAAATAGCTTCAATCATAATTGACAGTGACAGTGGATGACTTAGGAGGAGCCGTGTAATTTTTTAAGGCCATAAATAAATTTTAGGTCATAACGAAACCTGATTTTATTCCATTAAATCAATTGGACTTGGGTTTGAACTACTCGTTATAATTTTTGAAGGTTATACAAGGTCAAAATAAGTTCAATTATAATCAAGAGAAAGAGAGGATGACTTTGAAAAAACTGTGTATCTTTAGAGGACCATTTAAAAAATCTTATGGAATGAAAAAACCTGATTTTTTCGGCCCTAATCGATAATACTTGCGTTTGACATACTTTTATTGGTTTTTCAAGGTTACACAACGTCAGAATAGGTTCGATGAAAATGAAAAGCAACGGAGAATGACATAGAAGGTAGTCTGTAATTTTTAAGGAACTTAGAAAAATTCTAGGGCGTTAAGTAACCTGATTTTTTGAGCCTAAATAAATTGTACTCGAGTTTGACGTAATTTCATTAATTTTTCAAGGTCATACAAGGTCAGAATATGTTTAAGTAAAATATAGATCGACGAAGGATATTTCAGGAGGTAGCCTGGAATTTTATAAGAGTATAAAAAAATTTGAGGGCATAAAGAAAAGTGATTTTTTGGGCCTCAATAAATTTT